TTTTATTTTATTTCTGTCTACATATTTTTCAATTTTTATCATTAGATCATATTATAGATAGACCAGTACATACGTAACATGACCGGTTGTTGCAACACTAGAATACATCAGTTTACATTGTTGACGATTATTTCGGTAGGAAATGTATAGTAATAAAACTAATCATAGATGGGTTTTCCTCTAAGTTTTAGAACTTTTAAACGCATCCTTTGCATAAGTATTGAGGAAAAAAATAATAAAAATAATAATAATAACGTTATGGTAATAATCAGTTGTTATTATTTATGCCGAGCTTATTTTGTATATTTATAAGAAACAATTCCATTTGTCATTGTATTTATATTAATCTAGATAAATACATCGAGTTTTTTTTCTCGGCACGGTCTGGCATAAGTGAAACAATAGAATATTTTATTATTCCGTATTTTTTAAACAGCTTCTTCTTCTTATCTTTTATTTGATTGTTTTTTATATCGATTATTACAATAGCCACCATGTCTAATAAGAGATCTGCACAAAATATGAATCTTATCTGTGCATTCCGACTTACAGCCGTTATAATTTAGAACGACCGAACATTTCAAAAATAATCTAACCATAATATTGAACTGTTTTACATTTATTTCACCAGACGGTAAATATTAACAACCATATCTAATACAGTACGTTAGGTTCAGCTCACTGTCGACTTGATATGTTAATTTCACACTATTGTATCATAACAATACAAGTCTATCTTAATGAGCGTACATATATTACACGAGTAATCAATTCATTCAAACAAGTATATAGTGATCTGAACAGGCTATTTATTGTTATGGAATCGGCCCAAGACAATAAAATGAAATGTTGGGCTCGTCATGTGATAATATGTTCGCGGGAACAATTTTTAAACGGTTTTCCTATGTTTTATCCATACGTTATCTCAGATTTAACGAGTTTTTATGTAATTTAGATGACACGTTTAATAGTATATTATACTACTCATGAAGAATTTTGTAAACAAACGCTATGCATAGACTATAAAATAATTAAAATTACATTTTGAAATCATCCATCATTGCCAAGTAATAGAAAACATAAAATTTAAGTACTTGAATAACTGTATAAAAATTGTACGGATAATAAATAATAAAAAATTAATATTTATAAAAATACAATATATTTATCATGTGAATAAAAACAAACACATGTTCAAATGCTGACACATTCTCAAAACAACTGTTAAAAATCGGTAAAGGAAAAGTTGCTGTAGATGAAATTACTAGATGCATAACATTGTTGACCGATTTTTGCACAATTGTTAATTCACAAAAAGTTCTTATCGAGTTAATTTTCTATACACATACATATATATATATATATATACATAAAATACACAAATCATAAGTGACTGGATTGTTCTTCAAGATTATTATTGATGCTTTTTTTTTTTAATTATTATTAAAAGTAAAAATTTTATTAAATGTTTTAGTGCATGAAATTAAAAAAACAAATGACTGACGTTATGTATTTTTTATAGGTCGTCGTGGTCCACACGACTCAATTTCTTTTTCAATCATAGATTCTATCCCAACATACTTACAATAAGTTAGTTATTTTTTCTACTAAAAAATATATAATAGAAATACTAGAAATATATGGAAAAATAACGTTTGCTAGGTGAACTAGTATTATATTATATATTATGTAATATAGATTAAAATGACTAATCCTTTGTGTATTTACCAATTGCCAATCATCTAGTTCTTTAGGGTTATTCGGATATATTCTTATTTTTCCCGCGTGCCAAATAACGCGTGTACCACGGAAAAAAGTAAGCAGTTTCAACCGCTTAATTTTTTCATGAGTTTTCATAGAATTTCACAGTATCGATAATATTCCATCGCATATAAATGAATAAAATATATGAATAAAAATCATAGTCGTTCATCACTGGAAAATGATACACACGAAATAACGAACCAATTGATCAAGACCAAGACCAAAACAAGACCCACACAACTAAATTCATACATTCTTACAATTTTATTGTAATTTTATTTAAAAAGATATTCCAGGAAAACATTTAGTTTAGGTTAAATGAAAAAATATAATACAAATGTAATATTACATTTTGACATGCGGCACGACGTTCGGGAAAGTGATGAATTATTGAAAACAAGTTAGGAATAATTGGATATAATATTTACTACAAAGTGGTTTTGCAACAAATAGCAATTACAGAAAGATAACAGAATTATTTAAAGTAGTCGAATATGACATACATTTTGATGTGCGAGCACAAAACTATATTATAATAACACCAAAATCTCCGATACGAGCGATACGACATACGGCAATATATCATTCCTTTAGCTTTAATACTAATGACAGGATTAAATTATAGTTAGTATTTTGGGTATTATTAAATTGTATATATTTATTTCGCTTAAATTTTTGTTACACCGAAAAATTGTATAGTATATAATTATGGAATTCTACAAAATCCTAACCGAAATCAGGGTATAATTTTTTTATTTAAATTTTATATAAAATAAGAGTATTGCAGCAAGACCTTGATTTGAAGTGCCCGACCAAGACTAAGACTGTCACAATCTTCATCTAAGTCCTCGGGATGTTTCATTGAATGCATCATTCATTTTTACGTAGATGTATAATTGTAATATTATTAATTGTATTAATTTTACATTATTATTAAATTATCTGAAAAATGTATCTTTGGTATAACTTATACTTTAATATTTAATTAAGTTTTGATTTATAATAAAATATTGTATGGACCAGATAACTCATTTTATTTCTAAAAATTATTATTAATTTAATTTAATCTGGAAACTATTTATTTTTTTGTAAATAATTGTTTTTAAATAGTTATTTGTCATGGCAAAGGAAAGTAGGCCCATTTTTTCATTTAACTTGTACAAATTATAATAATTTATATTTTTTATTGAATACTTATAATTTCGAACAGTCTCAATAAAATTTCTATTAAACGTTTTTGTAAATTAAAAATATGTAAAATTATAAAGGCAATCTTTGAATAAATAAAATTATAATAACTTTTGTCATATTGTTAATGCAAAATAAAAATCTTAGTACTTATATTTAATAATTAGCTTAAAAGTGAAATTCGTCCTAGATGAAAAAAAATCGCTGCCAAGTGTTATAAAAAACGGTGATATGCTTAAAAATTAACGTAACCACTCAACATAACTAGTGTACAAGTATAAAGGTGATGGAACAAAAATTAAATTATTCAATCACCGCGAAAAAAAACGAAAGTAACGAAACAGATTTCAATTGTATCAAATGAATTTCAATTTTATTAACACAGCAAAAAGTGATAAGCGATTAAATCACCCAACATGCGTCTACCGCTTGGTGAATAAATTCATTTTAATTATACAGAATCGCTTATAACCAACTTCTATTTCTGGTCATACATTTTCTAGATTTATGAATCAAATATTCTACTATTAAATGATCAGAGGAACACTAACTCGTGTATGGTCGAATGCATTGGCCATTGGTTGTCTAATAGCGTACATACATTTTGTCAGTTCGGTCCATTTGCATGATACGAGTCGAAAAGCCGATAATGCAGTAATATACGTATGAGAAGTTTGTTAATAAATATATGTGCGTGCATTCAGTAGGCAACGCACGTAACTCCACACTATAAGGAAAATCAAGTAGTTCTAATGATTTTATTAAATAAATCAATTTCTGGAACTGTTCCCATTTTATGGTTCATCTGCCCATCGAATCGAAGTATTAAAATAAAAAAATATATATTAAAAGAATCACTAAATTTTGTAGAGATTCAGATGTGACTGTTCAAAAAGATCACGCTTCAATTTTTAATAATATTACTATACGAATATTGTGCGCAGTATATTCACGGTTTTTGCTATTGAAATATTATAATTTTGTACTCAGCGTTCCATGAAATAAACGAATAATTTATTAATTTATATATACAGTAGTTGCATAATTTCGAGTAGTGGAAAAAACAATAAATATCATATTTACGAATAATGTTAATTCAAATCAATCGTTTTCAACTTCTCAACCCTGACAAGAGCATTTTTATCGTAGCTGAATATTATACGAATCCGTGTTTATTTCTATTTTTTTCTTATGACCTTAATTTACAGGGAAATACAATTTTCGATCTTATACAATGCAGTAGTAATATTACTAATTTATAAACATTGTAATATTAACTGTACCATAGTGATTAAATAAAATTTCACAAATATTCATTTTTATCTGCATAAACATGAAAAAAACCAAAAAAGTGAATAGTGTGTATTCAATACAATTTTAAAAATAATTCTAATCCTCTCCATAATTCAACATGGCACTCCGAAGACTATAAAATCACTCTACATAATTTTTTAACCTTAATTTTTTATTTATATTATAATATAAATGAATAATTTGTGGTTTGTTTTTCACTGAAATTGAAACGTTGCAATAATAAAATTGAAAATAAATCGCTTACTGTTAACGTTATCAGTCATAAAAAAAAAAAAAAAAAATATATATAAAATATAATAACTAATAAGTCACTTAAGACAACGAAAAAAAAAAATAAAAAAAATACTGAATGTGTTTAATAAAAATTAACTGCATTTACTTTATATTAACATTCAGATACGGTTTTAGCATGATATATAAATTTAAAAATCTTTCATGATACGGTTTGGATGATAATTTGTTTTTATAACGAAAAATAAAATGCATTTTTTTTTTTTTACATTTCCACTTATACAATTAATTTAAGGGAATGTTGAACTGTGGATCTTAAATTATTGAGTCTGTAGTATTTAAAATGTTAGTATTTTATGATTATTGCATTATTGTATTAGATATTTATTATCACCTATAGTAAAAAAATATTTTTAGTTCTTATACTACCTAATAAATTATTCAACATTATTTCAATACTTAAAAATTAATGGACAACAATATTTTATATGAGTATAACTTACCAAATTCACTTTGTATAACATCGTATATTATGTCCAAGAGTTTGATTTCAGGGTTTGAGAAGTCAATAGGTAGCTCACTCCTGAAAATAACAACAATATCATTAATTAAGTAATAAATAACATAATTCAAAATAAAAAAAGTAGTGTACTGTACATGGCAAGTGTACCAGTTGTACAGATTATCGAAGAACAGTATTTATTGTTTTATTAAACATAAAAATTGGAAAGAATATTTTTAATTTTTATGGTTTAATTATTACAATATAACATATATCTCTAAAATTTATATTATGTCTAATATCTATAGTCAAATAATTTATACAACCGTTTAGCGATAGTCAAACTCCAAACATATTATGTGATGCATTATTTTTTTTTATTTATCCTATTTTCAGGTTTTTGTATATGACGCAAAAAAAAAAAAAAATCTGGAGGTGTAAAAATGTCAATGAAAGTTATAAGATAATTGAATAATTATTTATACTCTCAATTAGACAATATGTAAAAGGCATTTTTTTTTGTTTTCTAGATCAAGATAAACAGACATTGGGTGTTATTGAAATTTCTAGGTGGTACTGTATACATGTTACGCACAATATTCTTCAAAAGGAATGAAGGATAAACAAGGAAGGAGTGAACAACACGCTCATCAATCAGTGTCAAAAGGCCGTTGGTTCTTTTATCTCCCTTCCCTCTTTCACTCTATTTCTAGTCTCACCTACTCTTGTTCCATCTATTCTCTAAAATTTCAAAACACACGGGCGCATATACACACACAGACACTCATTCAGTTTTTCCAAGATGTCCACACTGTTAGTTATGTAGCAGCGTCATAAATGCAATTAATATGAATGATGTTTTCTCTGTTTGTTTTTGCTTTTTGTTAAGTGTAATTTATTTTAGTTATACGAGTATTTTTTTTTCTTCCATCCCATCTAACTATTTTTTCTCGATTTTAATTTAACAATAATTAATCATGTTTGTGAGTGCACAGGGTTTCCAGATAAACAAAACATGTCACAGTGTCCGAGAGGAAACATGATGGTGGTTTTGATCACTGTTTCGTTACATAATAGAGATATTATTAAAAATACATTTAGATAAAAAAAAAAAAAAAAAAAAAAAAATAGCAAATTACCAACGATTATATTGTAATCTAAAATATGTTTCTACTGATAAGAATTTTGATATTGTTTTGCTAAAATTTAAAATTATAATATAAAAATAATTTGAATAGTGATAACAATGAGATACATCATTAAATAATATTCCTTAGTCAATTTGATTTTACCATGGGAATAGCTGAACTTGAGTATTAACTAAGATTACTATACTAATTCATGAACGCACTGAAAACATTATTTGAAAATAATAGAAGTTAATTTATCAGTAGTATTCTTACTTGTTAATAAATTACATGAAAGATTACGTTAAACTGATGTTTGTAATGAACTATATTAACATTACACATTAATTTTCAGTTGTCGTAAATAAATTAATAACTTATACTTGTAAAATGAGCTTATTATTATTATTTTATAGAATTAAAAATGTATTTAATTTGAATATCATTTTTGAAAAAATAAAAATGTTCCCTATGTCTCGAACCCTATAGTTTAAGAAAATAATTGGATGAGAAATATGTGTATAGCCATTTCGCCAGATCAAGTAAAAGAAAAATTACCTTCAAATCACAAATATGAATGGTTAAAAAAAAACTGTCAATAGATATTCTTCCCCATTTTCCATGGAATATTTATTTCTTTGATTACCAAATCGATGAATAGGCATAATCATCCTTAAATATTTAGAAATGGTTTATATCACTCGGCGGCGCTTCGTATATGCAATTTCACTACATATATGTGGATAAAAAAATAATCATAGTATTGTGCATCACATGAACTATTTTGGCACTTACCAATACTGAATGGAAATTCATTTCAAACTTCTTTGCGTGAAAGACAAAATAGAAAGTTTTTAGTATTGTTAAAATATCAGTATTTTGTATATATTTATAGTTTAAATAATAATTACTATTGTGAATTGGGAGAAGATACGAGAGCAAAATAAATTAGTTGAATCAAAAGTTAGGCAGTACATATACATTTCGAGTGAAACAATGATGAATACAATTTTGCTGATTTCGAAACATGTATTCGTCAATACAGAACAGTTAATAAAAAATATAAAAAGTTTATTTGTATTGAATATATACATTATTCACTGTTATTTCAAGAATTTGTTTTCGAATGTATATTTACAGAATGTGACATTTTCCAAGTATTTTAACCGAGCACAATTTATTAATAAACAATAAAATAACAAATAACCATATATATTAGACGATGACCTAATTTACGTAACACGCGAAAATCTAATGCAAATGTCCCAGTGTGGGTTCATTGTTTTTGCTACTGGATACAATGTAACCAAAGCTAGCTATAATAAAAGAGCTTGAAATTATATTTTACTTCTGTGTACTCACAAATAAAAAATGCACACGTATATGTTTAATACAGAAATATATAAACTAAGACCCAAATAATAAATTCTTTAGCTTTTTTTGATTACGTGGGTTGCAGTTCAAAGATTACCCCTTTTCTCTCTCTCTCTCTCTATCTCTCACTATATATCCTTTTTACTTTTAAAATCCCCGTTCATTTTCTTTGCACCCTATTTTAAATATTTTTAAACTTTTCAGGTGAAAATCGTTCTGGGTAGTGGAGTTTAGGTTAAGATTTATTATTACTTACTCTTTCTCTCACTCTCAACCTCCTTTTTCTCACACAAACTCTTCTTTTATCTTTTTCTCATTCTCTTTGTGTTTCTCGCTTTATTCCTGGACATTAATAAACGTAGATCACTAATTAGAAAAAGATACTGTATTATTTTTTGTTGTATGACAAGCAGAGCCGTGTTAAGGAGGAGGTTCAAAGGGGGCTGTAGTTTTGCAAAAGTAAGGGGGGAACCGTATCTGAAATTAATTGGGATTAGTAATAAATTGTACATTATTTTTTAAATACCTAAAACCATATGAATAAATAATGAACATAATTAATTTTTTTTTCTTCTTATATTATCTAATCAGATTAATCCCTTTCATATATCTATAAAAATTTAGAAAATATGGATTTAAAAACACATTTTAAGATTAAATTAATGAAATAATATGAAAAATGAGACATAAAATATTTTATATAAAATAAATTGTTGTTATAGAAACATGCGGTGAGTAATACTAAAACTGGATCTGTTTTAAATATTTCAAATAAATTGTATTTATCTTAATGGTAATTTCAATATTTAATATAATATTCACTATATAATATCCAATATACATTTAAAATATATATCAACATGTTTACTAAAGTCTAGTTACAAATACGATTTATGAAATATAATGAAATTTTAATAAATTATATTTAATATACGAAGAATATAATATAAAATATTTCTTTCCTTAAATAATAATAAAAACTTATACTGATCCATTAATTTTTATTGAGGTGTATAGATCATATTTAAATGAAAATGTAGCGTCAATCAGTAACCAATTAATATTGAGTTAATATTTGTTTAAAAACTTGAATTGACCTATCCAAGTAAACAGAATGTTAAAATTTATATAGGTATAATGCATTTAATTTATTTACTATATGGTTATATAAACACTAAATTATTAATTTATGCATTTCATTATTCATATATATATATATATATAATAGAGTTGTATATCTGAATAACAATGATGGAATTTATTGTCTTATAATAACAGGTATCTGTGCTACAAAATTATAATGCAGTACCTATTGTTGTCATATGAGCATTGGATATTATTATTACATAATGTTAACCAAGATACACGTGTTTTTGAAAAAATTTAAAATAGTTCTGAATACATTTACAGTAGGTTATCATTGAATTCCATTTATTTTAATTATACCCAATAAATACAAAATCGAATATGTTACGACTGAAATTAATAAAATTAGAATTTAATTTTTTGTTTTATAAAAATCTACTGAATATCTGTCTAAGTACATTTAATGTGTTATATAAATTTAGATAAGTACATAAATATATACAATATTATAGTTATGATTAGTACAATATTACCATAGCTCAGATTAGGTAAGTACTATTTCATCTAGATAAAAAAATAGTTATTGTAATTATAAAAATGAATTACAATTATTTTTAAATGAGTGCAAACCTAACATTATATTTATTATTATTATTATGATATTTGATTTCGCCCTCAGCATAAAAGTATATTTTGAGAGCTCAATCTCAGATTATATATTAAATAATTTTTTTTAGGATTTATAAATTATTATTTATTAATAAAACAATAAATAAAGAACAGAAATAAAAATTATTCCTAGTGGCATGCATTTGAATGAAATATTTTTGTTATTTATATATTTTATCCATTGTAGTAAATTGTATTAAATATGTTTTGATTGAGAATTTATATGGAAGTTTTTTTTACAGAATTTTGATAAACAAAATATATCTAAATTATAATAGAAAAATAGTCACCTAAAATTAAAGTATAGAGTGTAGATACCTCGTAACTATTTATCTAGAAAAGATAAAATATGAAAAAATAACCATCGATATAATTCATTAATATCTAAAGAAGTCCAAATACTGAATACAACATATCAATTTTTCCACCACAATAAACACCGTTATACCATAGGACATCATGGCTATTTGATTTTCATCATATTATGTTGGATTGTACATTCTGCATCGGAAGCGCTCCCCAATGACCTGTCACACACCTCAGTGTGCACCTTGAATTGGTGAACGTGTCTTATTTTATTGAAAACAATTTCCAATAGCAACTATCTACTCCTCTATAAACGACACTCATCACATATTTTTGATCTCTGTAAAAGGTATTAATTTGCAAGAACTTTTCTGTATGATGACGCGCAGATGTATTACACTTAGAACACAATCCAACCGAATCTTTAAATTCATTTGATTTGGCAGACATGCCACCGCACGTTCTAACATTGAAAATTGGCGTGTCCATCATTTGTTTATAAAACATCAACCCATCACC